GTTTGCAATGATATTGCAAATTCGGACAGTGGTCGACAGAGGCAATAATGGTACAGGATACTCAGTGCCTGGCCAGTGAGCATGAAGGCTCCTTGGCTCAGGCACCACGAAATCAAGGGTCATCCCCCGGCAGCCGCCACCCTTTCTTCCTGCAGAAGGGAGACACAGCTGCCCTTTGGACCTCCGATCCTGGAAGCCCCTTGAGAAGTGAAGGACAGAGGCTGTCACAGGAGAGAAGGAAGTGACCCAGATCAGAAACTTAAGCACGGCAATGGCAGTGAGGTGGAAAAGTGCAAGAACAGCAGAAAGACTGCCCTCCTGCCTTGCGTTTGGGGTCTGCTAGCTGCGCTTGGTCGCCCGCTCCGGGTGCCGGCCTCCCTGCCTGCCTGTCCGCCCCTCCGCCCGTCCCTCCGTCGGTTGCTCTGCTCCGGACTATGGCGGCGGCGGCGGCGACGCGACAACAAGATGGCGGCCGCTTCCTTCCCTCCTTCCTTGCGTCCTTCCTCCCTCGGCGCAAGCCCCGCCCCGCCTACCAGCCACGCCCCCGCTGCCGCCCGGCGCGCGGGGAGGGGAGCGCGCCGCGGTGGGAGGCGGTGGGGGCTCCAGCCGGCGCCCCGTGGAAGCGACGGGTCGCAAGCGCCTCCTGTGGAGGGAGAAACCGAGGGCTGGAGCAATCTTAAATAAATGCACAAACACCCATCGAGGGCGCCTGGAAGGCTTTGATTTGGGCTGCTACTTTAAATAAGCCCCAGCGTTGAAAAGGGTCCTGTCCTTCCTCTTCTTCTTCTTCGTACTTTCAGTTCTTCCTTTGCAGTCATTCAGAAACAGGACGGGGAGGAGAGTCCTGCCTTCCTCCTGCAGACGCCTCTCTCGGGTTCCTTTCGCAGCCGCAAAACCTTCTGCCTCTTTCCGCCTGTTCTCCTCTCCTCTTTCCAGCGTCCTCTGAAGGCCAGAGTCACCCTGGACCTCCGGGTTGCCCCCATTTGGCTCTTGCTTTCTCTGTGGCCTTCTCAGCTCCCACCCCCACCCCTCTTTTCTGCCAGAGCAAGAAGGTCATCTGTGGTAAGGCTGGGGGCCACAGGGCCCTGGGGCTGCACAGATGGAGTGGCCATGGGGAGCCCCTTCAGCCCGGTTATAGCAAACGTCTACGAGGAACATTTCGAAAAATGGGCCCTGGCTTCGGCATCCTTTGCACCCACAGTCTGGTTCCGATATGTGGATGACACCTTCACAATTTGGAACCACAGTGAAAAAGAACTGGAAGAATTTCTAAAACATCTCAACAGCACCCTCCCAAATATACAATTTGCCATGGAAAAAGAAATAGAGGTCCAACTCCCTTTCTTAGATGTCATGGTCATACGCAAACCTGACCTCCGATTGGGACACAAAGTCTACAGAAAACCCATCCAGACAGATCGGTACCTACACAAAAACTCCAACCACCACCCATGACAAAAAAGAGGCATAATCAAGACATTGGCAGAGTGTGCGAATCGGAACTGTGAAGCTCAACTTCTCAGCACTGAACTCAACCATCTGAATTGGACCCTACAGGCAAATGGCTATTCGAAGAATGAAATCCCAGGAGCCATCAAACCAAGAAAACAACACCAAACTGAAGAGGAAAAACAACCACCCACAAATGAGGTATTTCTGCCATACATCAAAGGGGTCACGGACTGCATGGAGAAGCTTTTGAAGAAACACAACCTACAAATAGTATTCAGGCCCACCACAAAAATAGAACAAATGTTACGGTCAGCAAAGGACAAAGGGTGTCAATGGCTTTATTAAAGTTGGTTAAGAAGGATCAATTGTTGAAAGAAAATAAGGACTTAATAGTAATAACAATTACGGCAGCAAGGTTAATTTTTGCAAGAAACTGGAAAAATGATAACCAACTCAAGTTAGAGGAATGGTATAGAGAACTATGGGATATGGCAATTAATGATAAACTGACATGTGATATGAAAATGTTGTAAGCCGCCCAGAGACCTTTGGGTAGTGTGGGCGGCATATAAATAAAATAAAATAAATAAGTAAAATAAAAGAAGAAGAGACCTATCAAAAATAATGATTGTAAGAAAATATGTATTGTTGGAGAGGGAAGGGGTATACACAGAGGGAAGAAACAATGAAGTTTTGGAGAGGAGATGGATTGAATGAAGTTTAATGCTAGCCCTGAAGGTGGTGGTGGCACTATGTGATATGTAATTGTATCTTATTGTGAGTTTTTTTCCTGTGTGGTAGTAGGTTTGTGTTTTGTAATTTAATAAAAAAAATTAAAAAGCAGGGGGGGGGCGATGGGATCATTTTCCAGCATGCATCACCCCACCCCAAGACCAGCTAACAACACCCATCAACCACAGTGACATATCATCTCTCCCTCTTTATCCCAACAATACACCCACAACAAAAAACACGCTAATCACCATAATCACCCAATCTCCTGAAAAGGACAAAAAGCTGATCCCACAGCTATAAATAACTATCCCACAAAACTGCACCAGAGCACAAACACGAGTTCTGACTCCTGTCTTCTGAAGATGCCGGCCACAGAGACTGGCTAATTGTTAGGAAGAAAAACCCTCAGAACACGGCCAAATAGCTTTTAAAAAACTACAGCAACCATCAGATCCTGGCCGTGAAAGCCTTTGAGAATACAGATTAGCAAATGTTTTGTAGACCAGAGGCCATGTGGAATAACACAAGCAGGGCTTTTTGCCTCCACTGGGAACCCAGGAAGTTGGGCCCACCCTACTTGTCCCTCCCTGGGGAGGAAGTTGCGGAAGAGACACGGTGTGTGGGTAAAGCAGCTCAACCAAGGGCCCATGAAAAGGCCTCTCCGAAAGATGGGCATTGCAAGCAGGAACATGGGCGAGAAGGAGCCGGCTGTCCTTTCGCGATCCTGGCCCAAAGCCCCTGAGGGCTTTTTAGACCCAAATCCCCTCTGCCTGGATTCCAGCTCAAAGGTCAGGGCCACTGGATCAGGTCTTGGGGCGGATGCTCTCTAAAGCCCTCGTGGCCAGACAGACCCCAAGCAGAGCCGGGCAGCTTCCAGGGAGGCTTTGGTCTCGGATCCCCCTTCCTCGTTCACTGAGGGGCCCGTGTTTGCTTGTGCAAGCATTGCAGGCCAAACCCAAAGCAACAAAGCAAAACAAGGCGAAAACAGGTGGCCCCTTAAGGGCTACTCTGTTTCAGTGCCAGCTTTTGTGGACTTGTGTTATTGTCTTGTTTTGTTTCTTTGAATTGTGCCCGAGAGGCATTTATGTATCCATGCATATGGGGTGCACGCTGATGGCTGATTTGCTCATTGTTTGTCTTCCGCTGTGTAGCCCTCCCGTGATTTCTCACACTTGCCTCTTTTCTTACTCTCCTGCCAACCTCCACGAAGAGGCCAAAGAGGGGCCCGTGGCACAAGACCCCTCGATCAGCCAGCCTTTCAGGGGAGGCGGCCCAGGCAGAGAAGGGCCTCGTGAGGAGCAACATGGGCGTTTCTGCTCTGGGAGTTTCCTTTTGGCTCAGCTGGGGAGTCGGGGTTGATGTGACCCCACCGCCAGGCCGATCTGCCAGAGTTTGTGCCCCGACAGGCACCCCACAGAGGACGCCATGACGTCCAACCAAGAGTGGGCGGGGGTTGCTCTCCTTACTCAAGAGGGGCAGAGCTGTGCCACGGCTTCAACACCTCAGGCTTTCACTTTGCACCAAGATGGACGTGACCACCCAACCCACTGACAAAATGGGGGGGGGAGGGCTTGCCAGTTATGGCTGCAATAATGTCACCTGGGGTGAAATGGCTATTTAGTCCAACGGTTGTGGAAGGTTTCCAAAAGAAGGTGTTTGTTGGGCGCAGATGAACCGTCGCACCAACTGTCACTGTTACAAGACCGACTGCCTTCTTCTTTGACCACCAGGAAAGGGAGAGGGAGGATCCATCTTGGGGCCAAAGGATTTTCCCCTTACTCTGGAGGAGGTGGCCTCCTCTCTCTCTTCTTTGGCCCTGTTTAGGCCAGTGTCTTAAACTGGAGCAGAAGCGAAGGCTCGGCCAAAGCAACTGTGTTGAGCAAAAGGAAAAGGCAGCACAAGTTTTTGGGTTTTTTTTAAAAAAAAATAAATAATAGTAAAAGCAAAAAAAAGTGATTACATCAAAGCAATCAAAGTGTTCTATTTGCCTTGCAAATTAGGGGAAGAGCACCGCTCGCTTGTTTTTCCTCCTCTTCAGCAAAATCCTTCAAGAAGCCGAGAAAGGTTTTCTCCCCAAATCATGGGCAAGTACTACATACCCACAGAGATGTTCAGCTGGGTAAGTTCCCACGGCTTTGGCCTGGGCCGAGGGTGCTGTGGGGGTGAGGGGGTGGCCAAGGAAGCTGGCGACAGGTCAGGCAACGGCTCTCCCCCAGTGGGCCCCGGATTTGGGACCTTGAAGCCCCAACTGGATGCTTCAAATAGAGGTGAAGGACTGACTGCTAGGAGGGACAAGTGAAGCCTTTCTCCTGGCTTGCCGGGGGGTGTGTGTGCGGGGAGGGGTGGGAGGGAGGGCATGATTGCCTGCATTTTCTCAGAGCATCCCTCAAAAGAGTTCTATGCAAGCCCAGGTTTGGGGACTCAGCCTCAGAGAGGGAGCTTCCTGGTTAAGGAGACTCTCAGAGGAGCAGCTGTGTTCATCTATTGCAGCCCAACCAAGACCTGGCCAGCTTTCAGGTCCTGCCAGACCTGGTTTTGAATGGGGAGAAGGCATTGTATTCTGCAGATGGGCGGGGCGGGGGGGGAATACCAGGTTCTTGGGATGACCCTGCAGGGCTCCCCTCCCCCCCGCTGCTGCACTTCCTCAGCCCCTGTGGCTTGACTGTGTGGGACGTTGTGTCACAGTGCCGACTGGGAAGGCGGTTCTTTGGGTGGGAGAGCCCATCTTCCACACGAGTCTCCACCGGAACAGGGGCAGCGGCTGCCTGAGGCCGGCCAGCTGGAGGGGGGAAGGTGTGCGGGCCTGCCAGGAGTGGCAGGAAGGAAACGAGGGGCCTCCAGTCCACCAGGCTCTCTTCTGCACACGGTGGGGTTTCCGCTCCAGCCAAGGACAGCCAACTAGCACTTGCCCCTCCGGGGTCCTGCCCTCTTTCCGGGTCTCCCTTTCTGGTGCTTCAAGGGAGACACCCTGGGCAGGTGTTCCAAGAGGAGTTGTCTGGAGCTGCCTCACCTCGGCTCACCAACCGTCCTTGGGTACGAAGAGGCCACCCTTGCAGCCCAAAGGAAGGGCTTTAGAAAGAGAAGCCACTCCTCGGCATTGTGACCGACAAGCGATCGGCCTGCCCTTGTGGCCGGCAAGGGCCAACTCACGGGAGCCCCTTCCCTTCCAACCCAAGGGAGAGTGCCCCAGTGGGGCAACTTGGAGGCCACTGACCTTTGGTAGCCCAGGTAGACAAGCGAGGCACACCTGCCCGTAGCAGGGCTGCTCGAGGAGGATGCAGAAGCCAAGGTGGGGGAGGGGAGAGCAGAGCGAGTGCCAGGAAACAGGTAGGTTTGAGAAGAGAAGAGAAGAGAAGAGCGCGCGCCTGTCAGAGGCTGCGGGCAGGGTGTGGGTGTTTTGCCTGAACAGGAAAGAGCCCTCTTCAAAAGTGGCTCATTTGGCATTTCACAGTTTTGTGAGGCTTCCGCCAAAGGCAGTGTTCCACAACCCCGGGGTCCCTTGGGACAGAAAAGGGTCGGTCCCCTGGGGAGTCAGCGGAGGGCTCACTTCTCCTTCCCCCCCCCCCCGAAGAGCCAGGCAATGAGGCTCGCACTCAGTCTTTTCAGGGTCCAGGAAGCCGGTGGGGGTGGGGTGTTTGCACACAGAGGCTGTTCAGCTCTGCCCTAAGTTTGGTCTCCCACTTCTTGCATGGTTTTGCCTCTAGGTGGGTGGTCTCCTGTCATTCCCCCCCCTTGGAGGGTGGGGGGCATTTGAAAGAACAGTGGTGGCGTTAGGATGACCCACACTGACCAAGGGTAGAGATTTGTTGGGGGAAAGGTGTTGAGACTCTGTGTTGGCTTCCTCAGAGAAGTTGGGACCCTCTTCTGCTCTGCATCTTTTGTTTGTAGAGTTTCCATCAGCCTGGAGAGCTGGCTTGCAGCTTAGTGGGAATTATAGATCGTCACCTTATTTGTTTGTTTTGCTTATTTTTATTTTGAATGGGAGATGCTTGACAGAGACAGTTGAGGTGCGGAGATTCCCCATTCTAAAAACAATCTCAGAATCCACTCCTCCATCAGCCTGCAGTTGCCATGAGCGTTCTCTGGCTCTTGTTTCCTGGGCATTCATAGATTTGGACTGATCCTGTTGCATTGACACATGGCCAGATTGGGGTGAATTCTTACGCAGCCACGGAGCACCCGAACTATTTCTAGAGGGCCAGCAGCATCAATGTTATTCTTAACATAAGGAGGACTTTGTGCCTTTCGACAAAAATGTCTAAACCCTCATATTTTACACTGTTTCTGAACACTTTAAAAGCAGTTCAGAGGGGAGAAGGAACTTGCCCTTGTGATTGATGCAAGAGCTACCCAATCTATGCTATGAAAATCTGGCTTCTGGCAAAAAAACCAGATGAGCAGGTTCCACTGACTCTGGTCAAGCCACGAAGGCTGAACATGCGTGGTCCTTCCTTCTGGATGCATGCACTCGAGGTCTCAGGCATGCACGAAAGGAAAATAAAAAGTAAACTGAAATGAAGTGAAGTTAAATGAAATAACATAAAAAGCAATAAAAGGAAAATGTTAGCTAATACTCTCTTTTCACTTAGATCGTGAACATCAAAAGCCATCTCAGTTTTGAGAGCCTGCCCAAGAAGGAACAGAAGAGAGATAGGAGGAGAACTGAACCATAAATTTGCATCTGATAACCAAACAGCCTTTCATTTCCAGATCGCGGCCAGGATCCTATTACTTATGTACACAGGCATAAGTCAAGTGATGTAAATCTCTGTGGGAAGTTGCCACCAGGTCAGGAGCTGGTGCTTGTATATCTCTCTCCTTGTGCATTCGCTGGTGCAACAAGGAAGAATACAAGTGCCAGCTTTAAACCAGTGTCAGTTCTCCACTGAGATTTACACCATCCCACCAGTGTATGAAAGTAATATGAGTCTTGCCCCCAGTATCAGATTCACCTTGTTCTAGCTGGGACCATTGTAGGATGTGTCATTCCTATATAGTTAAAACCATGTGGGGTTTGTTCATTTGTGTGCCTGTGAAGCATGATTAGCCAGACCTTAACCCAACTGTTGAGGCCCATTTGACACACACCATATTGGGCGAGGTGGAGGTGGACCCCAGGATCCCTGGTCCTCCTAATTCTGGATTTTTTAAAAAAATGCCGGTGGGGAACCTAAACCAAAAGCTGGCCTCCAGCAGTATCTAGCAGCAAGAGTTCCATCTCTTTCTAGCTCACTAAATCCAAGATGAACAAAAACAATGACCCTTCTGAATCGCTACGGCCAGTGTGGCTCATTTTTCTGTGTTGCCAGGTTGCAGTTCGCACTAAACTCTGAAGCTGCTTTACATCAGCCTGGCCAGGCTGTTCAGATAGAGGAGACCCCATTACAGGAGGGCGGGTGGGGTGGGCTCGAGCTGGACTGAAGAAAATTGGGGCCTCGTTATCCACTCCTTCCCTCTGCATACCACGAGGTGGGGCCGAGGAGGCTCTAAGACAGACAACCCTGCGGTAAGGATTGGCATTCTGTCCAGGCAGGAGCCGTTGGAAGGCTGCGTGAAGGAAAAGCCACGAGCAGCAGCAACAGACTCACACAATTCTTTGTTGTGGGGCCTCTTTCTGGCTTGAGGGAGAGCCGCCTCCTTTTCTTCTTGGGAACCAAGCTGGCCATCACAGGCAGGAGCCTCGTGTCCCCGTGCCGTTCACACACCAGGGTGGCTAGAAGCAGGGGCTCCACTAGCAGAAGGCTTCCACCAGTGTCCACAGGCATTCTGTCTCGTGGGGCGCCCCTGGGCTCTTGAGATCTAGGGATCCAGATGGGGGAAAAGGGATAGGATGTGGGGTGGACAGACCAGAAAGAAACAAGCAGCCTCTTGTCGGTTGAACAGGTAAGTTTTGGGTCCAGGTGGCTTCTGCTCTTCCCTTTCCTTGGTGTGCCGAAAGAGACAGCAGTGACCTCTCTCTCTCTCTCTTTCCCACAGACCTTGGATTATAATGCATCCGAGAGTGAAGAGAACATGACTTACGAGGAGTACATGTGCCCAGAAGCAGGGGGTGGCAGCGCCAAAGCCCATTTTCAGAAGTTCCTTGTGCCTGTGGTCTACCTGCTGATCTTTCTGCTGGGCAGCCTGGGCAACTTCCTGGTGATTGTGATCCTGTGGCGCTACCGGCGCTCTCGCACTTCCACCGAGCGCTTCCTCTTCCACTTGGCCTTGGCCAACCTTCTCCTTGTGCTGACTTTCCCGTTTGGTGTTGTGGAAAGCTTAGCCGGCTGGGTCTTTGGGACCTTCTCCTGCAAAGTGCTGAGTGCCACGCACCGGATCAACTTCTACAGCAGCAGCTTGCTCCTGAGCTGCATCAGCGTGGATCGCTACCTGGCGGTGGTGCATGCCGTACGCACCTTCCAAAAGCAGCGCGCTCTGTCGGTCCACTTGACATGCCTGGCAGTGTGGCTCCTCTCGCTCCTGCTGGCGATGCCAGACCTCCTCTTTACTGAAGTTTGGGAAGGCGGTGACAACCTCAGTGTCTGCTACTTCACGGAACACGGGGCCCACGGCATCAACTCCTGGCTCGCGACCCGTTTCCTGTACCACATTGTGGGCTTCTTCCTGCCTTCCATGGTCATGTGCTACTGCTACGCTGCCATTGTGAGGGTCCTCTTCCAGTCCCAGCGTTTGCAGCGGCAGAAAGCCGTCAGAGTGGCCATCCTGGTCACCAGCGTCTTCCTGCTCTGCTGGACCCCTTACCATGTGGTCATCTTTTGGGACACACTCACCAAGCTGGAGGCAGACGACAAGATGTGTGCTGTGGATTATGGCCTGACCACGGCCATTATAGTGACCGAGATGGTGGCCTTCAGCCATTGCTGCCTCAACCCCATTCTCTATGCTTTCGTGGGCATCCGATTCCGCCATGACGCTTGCCGAGTTCTGCACGACCTGGGCTGCCTGAGCCAGAGTGCCTTGCAAGAGGCTCTGGGTTCATGGAGGATGGAGAGCACAACCGAGACCAACCTCTCTGTCAGCCGCCACCCGGCTTCCCCCTGTGCCATGAACCTCTTGGCCACCTCTTCAGGACCGCCTGGTCCCTCCGCTTCTCCCCAAGGGTCGACTGGCCAGTGGCTCAAAGAGGAAGGATGGGACTCTGATTAGGCCTCGGCAGAGGCAAAGCCCAGGAGCCAGTGGCAACGGATGGATGGAGGACACAAGATCCTTTGCTTGTAAGCCAGCGGGCGTCTTCCCCAAAGGTGGTGAGTCGGGACACTCCTATTCTTCGCATCGCTTGGAAACCCCTCCTGCTACCCTGGCCTGGCATTTTTGCTTCCACATGGATCAGAAAAGGCCCCGCTTTGGCACGCAGCCTGCAAGACTCTCCCTGGGCACCTTCGGCTCGGTCCTTACGAGAACATCCGACTTTGATACCAACATGCGTCACAACTCCCTTCTGGTGTTCTTTCGAAGGCGGCCTCTTCTGCCTGAGCCCTGCTGAGCCCTGGAGGATCATTTCAAGCCAGGGGACCGAATCCATTCTGGCTGAGGGTAAGGCTGGCAGGCACGAAAGGGGACCCCAGCCATGAGCTGGTGGCATTGCACCTCACCGGCACAGCCTCCCATTCCAGAAGAAAGGCTGGATGCAGATCCGGAGTGAGACCCACCACCAGCTCTGCATCACGCCTCAACAATGTCAAGCGAACAAATCTACATCCACCTGTTCAGCTGGTTAAAGAAACCCTCTCCTCTCTCCCCAATGCCGTGACAATGTGGGCCTATCCTGTTCTTCAGGATGGAGGTGCCTGCTGGGCCCGACCGTTTTTGCTAGCGGGGAGGAGGAAGGAAAGTCATGGGTAGGTGGGCTTTGGTGCCTGCCTGTCTCTGCTTTGGGTGAAGCAGGTGACATCATCATCATCATTCAGGAACAAGAGGTGTGGGGGGAGTAGTCTCCAGAGCCCCCCAGGCCAACCATGGGGCAGTGTGGTCTAACCTTTGCATGCACTCCCTTGCTAAAACTGTGGAAGGAGACCCCTTCCTGGCTTAGCTACGGGATCACCTCTGGAGGAGCTTGTGCTGAATAGCTTTCACAGCCCCTTCTCTCTCAGGCCAAATCATCTGTGAACCTAAACCAGGTAGCAAAGGCCCAGAAAGACAACAGGATAAGGTGGGGAGGGGGGGGGAGAGGGGATTGGCCAACAACCCACCTTCCTGGCCTGACTTCCCCACTTGCCACCTTGCCACGTCTGCCACCTTCAGGTGTTCTCTTCCCAGCCCCTGGATCTTCCTTCCCTCCCAAGACCGATTAGTGAGGACGACAGAGCATGGCTCAGCAGGTGGAAACCACCCAGCCACAACCACGAAAAGCGACGGCCTTCTTCAGGTGCTGTGGGAAGTGTGGGAGCGGCAGTATCCCGAAATATGGGAAGAGATGTCTGGGGCAGAAGATGACCCTTTGCTTCTGCCCAGCAAGGAGCACCTCGGAGTGTCCGGCCTCTAAACAGAGGGCAGCACCTGTCACCAGGAGCCACAAAGGCACTGGCCGTGGCCCCCTCCGTGGCCCTTTGCTTCCCCACCCCCACTTGCCCCAGGGCACCTGGCCATCGCCACCAGAAAGGCTCTCTGGCCACCTCGGTGCCCGCACAAGGCAGCTCGCTGTGAAGGGGATGCTGGTCTCCTCAGAGAGGGGGAGAGCAGGCACTCCAGGCCAAAGGGGCCTCCTCTGCCCAGCCCGGACGTGGGTTTCGCCTTCCTGGCGCTCAGACCGTTCTTTCTTGACCAAGGGCGACTTACAAAGCACGACCTGCCGTCAGAACGAGCACGCTGTCGGCAGCGGAAGGGGGCCCACCAAGGTCCAGGGAAGAGCTCTGTCCAGTTGTGGCTGGACCCGCGGCCCCTCCTGGTCAGGCCGGAGCTCCCCCTCCCCCCCGGGCAGCTGAACAACAGCACAAAAGGCTCCGCACAGGCATCTTCTGAAATGTCTCTTTTTAATAAAAAGGCACCTATAAAACAGGTCAATCAATACGTTACAGGCAGCACAAGATACCCAAAACAAGCCTAGAAATCATCTCAAAATAAAAACCAATAAGATGTCTTCACATATTGTATTTATATATTTATATTTTTATATATATATATATATATTTATAGAATGGTACAAAATGCGTGGGGGAGTGGGGGGAAGGTCTTCCCAGGAGGGGCGACCAAGGGTGGGCCCATTCCCATCACCTGGACGCAGACTCACCCATGGCAGGCATTGGGGGGGGGCGGACTAGGAAACGTGGGATCACGCTGGTTTGTCCAAAACAGGGAAGGAAGAGAAGGCGAGGGTCCAGGGACGGAAGGAGGGTCACGTGGACAAGGGCAGGCACCGCTCACACCAGAGCGCCAAGCGAAGGAGCGATCAGATACGAGACACGGGACAACATTCACAGGGGGGGGGGAACTGAGCTACACACTGCCTGGCTGTTGGCAGTGCAGAACACCCCCCCCTTCACTGCTGATGAGCAAGACATGGAGCAGAAGAGGGGGCTCATTCACCTTGGAGGGGGACCGTCCCGGGCCCAGCAGCCAGGCAGCCACACCGAGGCCAGCTCTGCAATCCAGTCCCATTTCCTTCTGACTTGACTTGAGGAGCAACTGCCCCCCCCACTCCCCAGCAAACCCCTTCCACCCCCCTCTGACTTGCCAGTTCCGAGCACCCCCACTGCAGTGGGGCCCCCGCCTGCCCGCCCCTGAGGTCTCCACACCAGCCAGTGGGGAGAGGGAAAGTGTTCTCCCTCCGTCTGCAAAGAGCAGCTGTTTTAGGGGTGTTGGGGGCGTGGGCGTGCGTATACACTCCGAGGGCCGACCAGCGTGTAAAAGGGGGCAGCTTCACGACAGGCCCTGGGCCCTCCTGAGGCTCACCTAGCCAGTGGAGGTGCTTGCCCCAAATGGCCCGTGACCCCTGTGGAAGCACAAGGGCCTCCCTCCGGCATCATCCGGACAGGCTGGGAATGCAGGACGCCGGTGGCTCCCAACCCTGGTGTAAGAACTGGAAGACGGTGTGGGGCAGCGGGTTCTCCCAAGAGCGAAGCAAGCACCCCTTGTTTTAGAAACCTGTCCCTAAAACAAGGGAAATGGGAGGGGCATGAGGTGGGGGGGGAGAGAGAGAAGGCAAGGGGAAAAGACAGTGTGGGTGAGTGGGTAGGTAGGTAGGCAGGTGTGCCAGCTGTGGTTCGGGTGGCATTGGCAGGAAAAGTCTCATCTTTATGTCTTGTTTCAGAGGCAGCCCAGCCGACTGCTCCCCGGCTTAGGCGAGAGAGCAGTGTGGCTGCGTCACCCCAAAACTGTACAGGGGATCGGCTGACCCCCTCAGCCTCTCCCAACCCTCTGGCCGCGAAAGGTCAAGGCGGGAAGGGTGTTCCGCCAGACTTCCCCAAGGGGCGCTGGCATTCCTGGGTGCTCAGGTGGCACACACACACACACACACACCCGAGAGAGAGAGAGAATCAGGAGGTCTCCTGGCACCCGGAGCCAAGAGCTTCAGAGAGGCAGCCACGACCCCCCCTCCCCGAGTTCCCACCCAAACTGTTGAATGTGGTCAATGGGTTGCATTTTTGCAGGTTTCCTCTTCGAATAACGAGTTTGAGGCTTCTATTAAAACACAGAAATACGAACAATTCCAAGCCAGCAAACCTCTCCTGCTGTGGCTGCTTCCCCCTCATCTATTTACAGCTGTTCCAAACCCTCTTGCACGTTTTGGTTGACTTTACAAAAAGGGGAAGAGAGAGAGAGAGAATTCACACTCAGGGGAAAGATTCAAACCAAACTGTGTGCCAGGGCAGAAGAGGGCTGGCGTCCCGTTCCCCCACCCCGGCCGGAGAAAGGTCCCGTCTGCCTTCCCGCGCCGGGGGTGGCAGCAGCGGGGCCGGCCGCTCAGAAGGGCAGGTTGGCCATGCTGCCGGCCCCCGGCCCGTAGCTGATCTGGCCGTCCAGGGAGACGCTGCGCTGCCGCATGGCGTGGGAGAGCATGAGGTTCTGCTGGGGCGGCGGGGGCCCCATGAGCGAGCCCTGCGGGGACATCAGGTGCCCGGGAGGCTGGCCGTACATCTCTCCCGACACAGACATGCTCCGCTGCTTGGCCTGCATGAGCAGGAAGTTCTGCTGGGCCATCAGGTTCTGCTGGGGCAGCATGAGGCCCTGGGGCATGCTGCTGCCCATCAGGGCCTGCTGGGGTGCCAGGCCTGTCCTGCCCAGCATGGGCACCTGCCCGGGGTGGCACATGCCCATGCCACGCTGCATGCCCTGTGGGCCGGGCCGGGCCGGAGCCTGCTCCGCCATCATGTTCTGCAGGTTCATGAGGTGCAGGTTGGACGGGGGCTGGGCTTTGGCCACTTGCCCCTCGCCCTTGGGGAAGTACTGCAGGGTGCTGCTGGGCTTCTCCGAAGGGATGATGCGGGACAGGTCAAACTCCGGGATCCCCGTGGGTGTCGGCCGGATCACGTCGCTCAGTTCCGGGTCGTTGAGCACCGAAGCCACACCAGGAAGAACGGAGGGGTAGGGCTCGGGAAGCCTCCCAGCCATGCGCTGCTGCTGCTGCTGCTGCTGCTGCTGTTGCTGCTGCTGCTGCTGCTGCGGGATCTTGCCCGGTGGGGGTGGCTGCAGGTCCTCCGGGGGGAGCCCCAAGCCAGGCGGGTAGTGTTGCTGCATGCCTGGGCCGCCAGCTCCTCCGTGGACCATGGGCAGGCTTCCCCCATTGGCCGGGGGCTGCTGGAGGCGTGGGGGGAAGACCAGCTGGCCAGGAGGGCCGCAGGGCTGGCTGAGAGAGTCCTGGGGGCCTGGAGGCAGCATCATCGGGTTTGGGGGGCCGGCGCTGCCATGCAAGGGAATGTTGGTGCCCAGGGGGCTCGGTGAGGACATGGCGGGTCCCGGGGGCTCATGGGAGAGCGGCTGCTGTCCAGGGAGGTTCATGCCCATGGGGCTCTGGGCAGGAGGGGGCCCCACAGAGTTCATGTGCATCGGGTTGGGCTGGTTGCTTATCATCCCTGTTTGGGAAGGAGGGGGAGAACAAGAGAACCATTAGCTCCTGGCCCCAGATTTCACTCACCCTCCAAAAAAGCAACGTGCAAACGATGGGCCACCCCGAATCCATGCAAAACTTTGCAGCTGCAGAGGGAAAAAGCCGCCCCCTGTGCAGTCGGGCAGAAAAATGACATCCAACTCAGCAGGTAGTACTCCCTTTGAGAAGCGCCACTCCCCCCCCCCCCTTAGCAGCCCTCATTTGTTTGCTCCTCAGGGAGTCAGGGCACCCTTTCCCCACATCTTCCCTTGAGAGGAAAAATCCGTTTCCCTGCAGTGAGACAGAGCGCTCCTTAAATGCCTCTGCTTTCGCCCGATTCGGGGAGCTACGCAAGGTCAGCAGAGGACTTGGGGCGGGAGACCCTTAGAGAACCCCAGCCGTCTCCAGCCAGGTCCAGAAAAGGCACGGCATGAAATCCAGGGGCCAGTCAAGAGTTGGCAGAAGGAGGCGCCGGGCTGATTCGGGCAGCATC